TATATATAGGTACCACATCGGAGATCTACCAGTCAGTGTATATTTAGGTAGTTTCTTCAAGCGTAGGCAACCAAAACGCCATATTGTTGCAGGCGGATGCAAGCATCATGTATTTGGGATTGAACTGAACGCATCCAACAGGACCGGTGTGCTCTGCCCGAAGCATCGCCAGTTTACTGCCAGTGTCCGCGTTCCAGGCATGCACACAGCCATCGCTCGAGCCAGAAAAAACAAACTGTGAATCCGGACTGAACGAAGCCTCAAGTGGAATTCGTCTGGAGTTAGCAAATCCTGAAATAATAATATAGAGGACATGAGCATTATAGAGAAAACGCAAATCGGCTACTCTATTTTTTGAAGATGCTAGATCTCCTTTTTCTATTGATAAAATGCAATACAAAGCAAATACCACAGATTTAAATAGCGTAACGTTGTAAAAATGTCAAAAACGTAAGCTTGATCTTCTGTACCTGTAAACTTTTGTAAAGAGTTTCCATTAAAGGCATCAACCAAATGTATGACCGTTCCATTTGTCGAAATCAAAATTGTCTTCCCATCGGGTGAAAATTTCAGACCCGTCCAGTCGAAGTCCTTATCCTGAGGCAGCTTGAACGTATTGAACGGACCCTTATCAAACGTACGAAGGTCATACAACTTAATAGACTCAGAGTTAAGACCAACAGCGAATATAAGGCCTTCGGGGTCAAAGTTTCCGACGGGTCGCCCTGTGGATATCGCAATGTACAGTGAGCGAGCCTATTTATAAATGTAGTAAGGCAAAGGTATCGTCCCCGCGACATTATACGACAGGAAATTTAAGGTGGTTAAGAATTTTATAGCAGGTCGTTATGCCCAATCGTTTAAACATTTTTTCTCATACACCCTACGTTCTACTGTTGTAATTGAAGTATTCATAACTAGTAGAAAAACTTACTGAGAAATATATATATTTGTTTCGTTGGATCATGGTTCTCTAGGACTTCAAATAAGTGAGTCCGCTAAGTAGGACGTATCTTAAGAACTTGTAAAACGCAGAATCCAATACCTGCTTATTCTATCTAACAGGAAACACATTCCCTTCACTAATAGCTTGGATTAGTGAGATCTCTCGTGAATTCGGCCTGTACTACTAATGAGCGCTCTGCCCTTTCGCACCCATGTCTAATCTTTGCTAAACCAGTATATCTACTCTACGAAGTATACATTACGTTTAATATCCTTTTATATAGTTCTTATATATAGGTAAGTCAATTAACTATTGAGGCATAGCTTTTCGGTACGAAGCCGACGGCCGCTGTTTCTTACAGCCTTCATTTGTTCAACGAACTTACCGTTTAGTTGCATAAAACCTTGACAGTTGGGCGATCGAACATCCCAGAGGCGCAGAGTTCTGTCTAGAGAACCGGATAAAAACATATCATCAACAGGAGACGTGCACAACGTAACAACCTTTTTACCGTGTGCCGGAAAATAACGGATGTACTTGTTATCGTGTAAAGATAAATACCTGCAAAAAATTAAGACAAGTATGTTCGAATCCAAAACGAAAAATCAGTAATAAATATGTATCCGTAAGTAAATACGTTCGTTTTCATGCAGCAAAGCTTCCAGTGAATATCGCTAAAGTAAGTATAACGGGCCTTCTTTTGTTGGATTCGCTGATTCGGCCTAAATCAATTGCTCAGCACATTGTATACGACCACAAATCGTCAGTATATTATAAACTCCACTGCATGTAAACCTTGAAAAGTGATTTTTGCCACTGTTTCTTCAACCTATAATAGCCCGTAGAACGCTTTTTATGTTCAAAGCAAAATAAAGCTGAAACATAAATAAATAAACTGATTTTCATTAAAGTATCATTGATTAGGAAAGCTAAGAGTGTCATTGTAGATGAAATCGATCGTTTATGCAACACACCTGATAGTTTCGTCCACTTTCGTCGAACTATGGATTGCTGTATTTGCCGCGTGAGTGAAATGAATCAGATCGACGCCATATTTTTTCGAATTTAGTGTCCGCTTTTGCATACCTATTGACGACATAGAGAATAAACATGCCTTAAAATAGGCAGCCATCTTGTGTCTATAAAAGTAGTTTGTACTTTTTTGTCTAGAATCTTCACTTGGAACCTGAACGAACAGTTTATCTCTTCTAAAAGAAAATTATCTATTATGGATCGAGAACGTTTTAACAAACCTTTTGTGCAGTCGTAAATAATAATGGAATCATCGTCACTTGAAGATATAAGTGTTGTTCCGTCTGATGAAAAGTCAATACAGTTTATCCGATCTGTGTTGTCTCGAAACACCTAGTAAGATAAAGAAATAGACGCATAATAAAATACGCATTTTTATTTTTTTTCTTACACTGGTGTTATATTCTGTCCATATTGATAGCCAAACAAACGGATATTCAATTATAAAAATCAAAATAATGCTCTCTATTAATATTCGCATAATGTAAACAGAAATGCTGTCATTTCTGTTTACATTTTACGATGTTTATAAAAGATAGAAAATATATACTCATATATACACCTTTGCGGCCAGCACTGCGGCCTATCTAAAGCGCTTTTCAGTGCTAGGTACAAACGCAGGTAATACTTACAAACAACTTAGAAAAGAAATGAGCCTAAACGCGTATTCTTAAGCCTAAAGCAGCTTCGTCGAATTTCAGTAGACGACTAGCAAAAAGCTGGTATATGCTATTTTCAACATACAACAGCAAATGCATGACGAAACGCGAAAAAAGTTTACAGTTTAACCCAAATGCAGACTATTTCGTCGTTGAGTCTAATTTTGGTTTTTTAATACGTTGCCACCACCTGTTCCTTCTGAACAGACTATTCACACTAGCGGCTTTTCCAACGCCAAAACGATTTCGTACCTTTGCTACGCGAAACGACTTCACTACTGGTTCAACGAGCTTCATCCGCTGTTCGATCATAGTGGAATTATTTGTGATGTCTGTTTTAAGAATTAAATGCCTCTGCTGTCAGATTATGCGGAGATATTGTTTTCGGCGACAAGCACCTCAGATGCGGGGTAGTAGCTAATAATACTGGCTGCTTTCTTCGTCGATTTGACCAACGACCCTAAAAGAGAATAAAAACATAAGAGATACAAATCCTCCGTGTTATGTAGAATAGAACGGGACCGTGCTCAAATAAAAGGATAGCGAAATATTGTCTGCTGAATATAATAGTCTGCCCACTAAAAATGTCGCACGGTGGTCGTCCAATATTTACCATTCTCTTTCAATAAGAAAAGAGCTGAATCATATCAACCTGTTCCCAAGTTCAGGCCGTTGAGCCTAACCAATTTTCGGACTTCCATTCTATCGTTTCTGATGAAAATATTAATCCCATAACATGGACAACCACGAACTCAGTGTTAGACAAGCCATTATTATTGTAATTTAAAGTGGAAAACAAAAGACTCCTGAACAATTTTGATAAACGTACTACGTTCGGTGAAACAAATGCAATGAAATCACAACCTTGTTATAACTTACAATATATTTTTGCGAGTGGGGTTGCTTATTTGAAAATAAATACAACTAGAAGACGTTCTTCACGCGCGGTGCTTAAATTGACGACGGGCTAAAGTAACTATTTCTCTGTAATCAATCGCTATTCGCTGGGTATTGCTTCGACAATTGATTTGAAACTTTTCGCAGCTTGTTACCGCACTAGGTCAAACTAGCCTGGTTTAAATCATGCAGCGTTTTAGATCTTCATGCAAATATTCGATACGTTACAAAGCTTGCAAGAATCATCTTACTTAAATCATTACCTAAACTGATGACAATTTACTTAGGACGCTAAGCGTTTGCGATGGACCAAATCTAGATAAAGCGTATAAAATAATGCAAATGTCATTTCCAGAAAAAGCTCAAGATGTCGAAAGGTGCACGCGCTTAACGGCGTTCTTATTGAATAGAGTTTCAACACAAATTAGATAGATCGCACTAGCACGCGCATTAGAAGCTGAATTCTAAGTTATTTTACTTATGTGTAAACATCACGTACAGCGGATGAACAAAGTTATTAGAATTGTTGGATTGTGTCGAATATCAATGTAATCGATTGCCTTTAATGCGTCTCCTACAGTGGAGGCAAATATATATATATTTTTTATATTTAACCTGCCACTGGCCCATACTAATAAGAAATAAAACTTTTTAAAAATATATATTATGGGGAAAAGAAAAACTGTCTGCCAATGTAGCGTGGATCGGGACAGCACATATGTATATTGGAGATTTTTATGCTATCATCTTAACGGTTGATCATACATATTTCGTGTTGTTAGGTTCTTGATTCAAAAACGATACATATTACATTGAGAGCACTTACATCCACAATAAGTTTTACAAACACAAGATCAACCGATAATTGACCTAGTCATCGAATAATAACACCACAGATTGTCGGCGCTCGGGTGCTTGAATAGGGCTGTTTGTGATTCTCCGGTTAGTTGTTTTGCTTCTCCCTTTTTGAAAATGAACGCATCAACTATAGAAAAGGGCGCCAAACACGCGGACCTTGGCCATTTCAATTCGTAAGTCTGTCTCTAATCAACAATACCACAAAACGTGCACTTAATTCGCACTCTGAAATTGTTATTTATACTTGTCGTACCCATTGTTTGCGCTTTAGATTGTACGATAACCAATTGCTTCGTGACTAAATTTCTGGCAGTAATTGGAATTTCAAGAAGCGTTACTTTAAGAAATGGATTTTATGCAGGCGGATGAACGCATGTGATTCGATCAAACGCGGAAGAGTCCGGTCTCACATCGCGCGGTCGAATTTGAAGAAGATAACGACGATGCCCGCTGGGCACATGTGATGTTTTGTTTTAATTGAAATACTGACGTTGTGACGTAAATCCTTTGTTAGAATACAGCATACTGGAGTAATTCAACTAGTGTAAACAAACCATTCCCGTAATCGCTATTATATTGAATTGCAACCTAATTCAATCGTTACTATATCGAAGAACGGATTTTATTAAGGTTAAGTTGGAAATCTATTCAAGATGAGTCAAGATGCAGACGCAGCGATTCGTAATGTAAGTTGAAAGACTAAAACTGTATTTTTATTTTGCGTAGTCTCATCATAACAAAGGCAGCTCACAGACATCTTATTTTTTTTCCATTTTCGTCTGATTTGCTTCCTGAATCCGAACAAATTCTAATTCGGACTTTCCATAACGGGTAATGTCACCACTACAATGCTATGAACGGACGTTTGTAAACTTTTTCATTATTTACCAAGTGTACATTTTCAGTTGAAAAATTTCGTGAAAAATGCAAAAACACATACTTTAGTTTACAAATGATCGTACAAATTGCTTTATAGAAAAAAGTATTAAATCGTTTGCGGAATTTAGACGTAAATTTTAAGCTTACATTTTCCCTTTAGAGATAGCTATTGTTTTGGATGGACTACTTTGCCAATTCTTTTTCTATCGGATTGTATAAACTAGATAAAAGTATAGCCTTCTGACTACGGGCTTCACCTATAATCAAAGAATATGTATATCTGTTTATAAGTAGCACTTCTATCGACCGGCAAACAACTGCGCCCGTAAGATGCTCCTTTAAAACACATATCTTTGATATGGCTGCCGATTACAACTGCAAATATATTCTTATTATTGTTGTCCGAAAGGATTTTGGAGAACATTCTGTGTTATCTTGGCGCTAAAATAATCAAAACAAAAACGTTGTCACAAAGTGTTTTTCGAGTTGTTTCTTATCATTTAGAAGAAGAGTCTAAGCATTATACACTTATAAGACGATATAGTGCAATCAGGTATGAAATCTAACCTTACGATGATTGACTGACCTTTTGCAGATGCGGGATTTTATGACGATCTATAACAAAATGTCGGAGCAGTGTTTCGCTAATTGTGTAAATGATCTTGGTCAAAGGAAATTGTCAAATGATGAATGCGTTTGTGTCGATCGATGCGTGACTAAGGGCATACGGGTAATTTTTTGTTCTTGCGCAATTTTCCTTGTTCTAGGAATAAAGCACGTCGCATTTGCAGACTATCATATGCTCGAAATAGCTCAGACTCAAAACTTAACATAAAATTCTCGAATCATAATACTTTACGTTCACTTTATTATGAGATTTTGTATAACATATATATGTTGAGTATTGGTATAAATAGGTTTATTTGCAAATAAGGAGTGAACATTTTCTACGGACTAAGCGTAACGAGCATTCGTATGCCTATAGCATTATGCTACAGTCATTTGTATTATGTACTTACGATTGTTGTTCCAGTTGAACCATTTAATGATGGATATCTACATGAAATTGCAACCGGAAATTATTCAGAAACGCATCAAGGAAAACGAGGCTCTACAACAAGATATGATGCAAACCCAGTTACAATCTTAGCAACAAATACAATAACGGCTCGAGTTTACAGCCAGCCAGTCAGCAGCTTCAACCATAACGGAAGAACAGCTGTAGGAAATTAAGCCTGGTATTAAGGGCGGGCAAAAATGGGCTACCGCTAAAATGGGCGACCGTGTATACCATGTACAGTTTTGTCAATAATGTTGATGAGTAACGTTGTCGAACGACTTTAATTGTTAGGTTAATACGGGATGTGCGGTTGTGCTAATGATGTCTGCTTCTTATTTTTCAAGGTGGAGTTAATAGGCACATTGCATGTGTGTCTTAGGCATAGGGGAAGGGAGGGGGAGGGTGATATAGAATAAACGTTACATGGAAAACTAATAGATAGATGTTCAAGGAATAGTGATCCTGTTTCAATAAAACATGTATTTGCATGATAAAAGAGTACGGTAGTTTCGTTTTTCTAAAGCTGAGAAGGACCTTGACGGTGGTCAATTTCCTGAGCTAAAAGATGAATTTTTCAATTTCTTGTAGCGACGTTGTTCTCCAACATTCGAAGCAGAGAATGTGTCACAATCTAAAAACGCCGAACATATTCTTTAAAATTTCCGTTTATTCGATATTTTCTTTCATATGCCGTCAACAGGCATTACGGATTGTCTTGCTTGTCTGTTGCGCAGAATCATTTCAGACAAACCAATGTGAACGTAATCCCGTGTGTGTAATGAAATGTAAGCTAGAAGAAACTAATTTAAATGTAGCAGTGGGGCAAAATAACTCTTTTGCATCACTACTAATTCTGGTGTCGTTGGTGCCAAGAAAGTTGAACTTAGGTTTGTTCTTAAGAAAACGACCAATCAAATCGCATGATAAAGAAGCACTTTACCCCTTACAAGCATTGCACAGTCATAAAACTATAGCGTGTGTGTATTTCGATTCTTTGGACGTAACAGTAAAAACCGATTCGTTCATTTTCACTGCCACGTTCTCCGTAAATTGTTCGATGCTCTGGACGATCTTATCTGGTCTTCACTTTCTTTCACATCCACACATGTGGACCAAAACATTTAATGTATTTTTATTATAAAAACGAATCGCTAATACAGAATGTATTAGGTTAGCTACATTACTAGTCGACCTATTTGCATAAAAACCTGCCTTTTAGTGTAGGACTTAGACAGTTTGGAACTTTTGTTTAAAAAAGAAAACGCTTTGTATAGTGTAAGACCGCTTTAATGCATCTATCAATCATTCATTAAATGAATGCTCCCAACAGTGTATCAATTCGTTTTGCAGCTTTTTTGAAACTGTAATAAATTTAATTGTGTTCGGTGACTAAAACAGGGTTTGCTGGCTTCTGGCAAAATTTCTGTTAGATGTCATATGGTAGCGTTCGCACAACTGTAGCACTGGCCAATCGAGTAGTAAACCATGTTTTCTCGAAGTGAACGCTATTGCAGGTCTACCAGTAGACTATCACAAAAACTTAATTCAGAGTAGTAGAAGTAGTCGGCAAAAAATATTGTTGAAGGTCATTGTAAACTGCCGAGTGCTCTGCTTCATCTTGAAGACGTCGCGGAGTGCCGAATAGTTAATGGAGGACCCAAGTTCCTCGAGGCGCCGGTGAAAAATAGTTGGAACGAACAGATAAGGTAAAAGGGAAATGTACTGTAAATAGTACATGTGGACGGTGCTCCTTTAGACCAGAAGTTTCCAGGCTTCAGGTTTTGAAAGTGTATTTTATAAATTTTCCTTCACGCATTCGATGAAAGCTACGGTTCGGAAAGGTACGGATAAATGCGCGAGAGCGGTGTAATTTTGGGCATGTGCTTAGAGCAGGATTTTCTTTAAGTATGCAGTAGTCTTGATGTATAGACCGCAGGCGATAAATGCTGATTCTTTGTTAAGGTGATGCGCGGCATTTGGTCGAGTTTTTTCAGTCTCTGGGAAGAACGCGGACCGGGACTAGATCTACTGGTATGAGTACCTGAAGTGCAAGCATAAGCTACGTGCTCGAAAATTACTTTTTTTTCCTGTGATTTGGTAAATAAACATCATGAGGTACTTATCGATGCATGCTTTGCCTTGTGTAGAACTGATGTACTATATAAAGATCTACAGAACCTAGTCAAGCTGATTACCATAACGAATGATTCCATTTTAATAGACAATGACAACATGGCCAGTTCACACACATTGTGCAGTATTGATGCGTCGTTGACGGGATCTGAAGCAGGGACGTCCCGACCTTCCAAGCTACTCGCTCAACAGATAAACTAGTAATTTTGTTATTTGAAGGTATATTATCTCCAGCACCAGAATTTGTGCTCGCTAGGTACCTGCATCGTCATATCTGAGACCAAGTTGTTTCTGTTTCTATAAGCAGCATTAGGCTATATTCACAATGCAATTCACGTTTGCTGATGCCATGCCGCCTACAATGAGTTTCATCTGTGAATCGTCTATCATACAATAGCTCAATGTAATGGTGGTTTCAATCGTTTTCAGCGTTTGCTTCAGCCCAACGAGGATACCTAACGCTTGATAATTTTTTTTATTCCGGAGCTGACAGGATGTTATGTTGATCCCTATTTCCTACTAAGATCTGGTCTACATTAAGTCTTTCAGTTAACCGTGGACCATTTCTTTTACTAATAGCCGAAACTTTTGCGAATTCCTCTAGCGCCGTATAACATTATTAACACAATTACCAAGCGAGAAGTTATTGTACGGACAGTGAGTCCTTTTTAGGAAAGTTACTCTTAACTTATTGCCATTTCGCGTGCGGACTGAATGATAGTCATTTTGAGCTATAGTACTCCTGTAATGAAAAATAAAGGATTGTCTATACAGATAGCTGGCTTTTTCGATTGCATATCCATACTACATGACTTGATTTCGTGAACTGCTGTCCGCACCTTTCAGCCTGCATAATTTTTGAATGTATTAAGTTACGTAAATGTCAATTGATTCAGATTTTTTTTTTCTGTAACAACACGCATAAAATCTTTTACATTGGCCCTAGAAGCGTCTACAGGACTTCCACATGTAACCTCTCTTTTAAGCACAAGTTGCGTTAGACAAATGTTGAATGCACTTGTGGCGCAACGTTTTTAAGGTAAGAAGCAGCACGGCTGTTGATGAGGTCTTTCCCCGTAAATGATCTCCACTATTTGCTGATGCATAATAACCACGCAGTCTTACCTTAATAACAGTTGGGAAATGGTAATGGAAAAATTATTCAAGCTTGTCCATTGTTGTATGATGACAATTGAGCTGAACATTAAGCGTAAGTAATGCGTGACCATTTGAATCATTAAATTATACCGTTGTTTGTTCTCTAGCTTCAGCTGCGCAACAGGACCGAGTCTTTCCATTGTTAATGTTGAAAGTGCAACGCTAAAACATGTCACTACGCGTTCCTGGTGCGTGGTTCAATACCCGAAGAGTTTAAACAGTAATTATTTTTTAAAGACCAACGAACTTATTATAAAATAGTCAACTATTTATGCTATTTGTACCTTATTTACTGATTTGAATTATTCAACTTAAATCTACATTGCCTCAGTATAACAAAGTACGTTTAAGGAATAGTAGGCGTATTAATATGCCGAGATTTACAAATACGACAAAGAAAGGACAATAAGAATTCCAGTAAATTTCATTCAATTTTTTAGAAAATCGACGACGTGTGCTACACAGTAGCATAAGACCTAATATATGCCCTTTAATAAAGCTTAAGAAATGATGATGTTGCTGATCCGATTTAACCGGGCGTCGAGCTCTGTGAATAAAAAATAAGGATAATGGCTTACTGTTTTGTGACAGTGTAAGATGTTCACTTTTCCGCTCAATAATTTGTTATCTAATCCTTCTTTGCCTAAAAAACATTCACTGGGCTCGAAACAAGACACTCAAGAATAGGACCGTTAAAGGAATTCAATGAGTTGCGACTGTCAAACATGTGCTCCCTTGGAAATAGTCCTTACCACCGATTGTTTGTGGGCGCATTGATATTGGTCGCACTGCAGACACCTGGACATCAACAACAGGTTCGCATCGATATCTGCGGTAAGTTCAATGTCAATTCATGTAGGCAAAATATATTAATTGTATCTATACATATATAAATCTGTATTTATAGATAACGGTGCACCGCCGTGAGATCCAAACAGCTGTGACTAGTTTTATAAAACACTGGTAGCTATCATTAGAGTACGGTAGGCTGGTTTCATTTTGGCCACAGCAGAGTATAAGTAGACTGCAGGAAATATAATATTATGCAGATTAAAGTCTTTTATGTTCTTATGTCAGTTAAGAGTTAATTTTTATGCATACAATTAATTAACTTTCAAATTTTCATCAGAGTTTACTATATAAAACTAATTCACCATAGAAGACATAGGAAAATATCGACAATTCTCATATGAACGCCGTACGAAATGGGCAAGCTAAATAACAATAGGAAAATATCGTGCCTAGTGAGCATCAGTAGAAAGTTATATACGCTTTTCTCGGGCCAAATTTAAGGCCTAAGTGTTATCACAGAATAACGACTCACGTATCGCCTCGCCAAAATATTAACAGCGATGTCGACGACCGGACTCACCGATTTCCTGACGTGCGCGCTCGAGAGTGCGCCAGAGGGGGTAGGTTTTGAGCAAATACGGATATTTTCCATTCTACAGTATTTATAGATTCAATTATATATAGCATCATGTGAAAAGAAACCGTGCAATATTTTAATAAGTCAAAGTGCGTCACGAATATTGTTCGATAATCAACTATCAACATATGAAGAGTATTTTACCCCGAACCGTGCCTACTTAAAATGAATTTAAATGCAATGGATTAAATCGAATTTTAGACAAAGCAGAAATGGGACAAATTGAAAGCACTATTCAAAGGTCGGGCTCCAGAAGAGGCAATAGGAAAAGCCTGTCAAAGTGCGCCAACAACTGGTATTGCCATTGTAAGTACATTGTGGAAGAGTGCGAAACATATATCTATTTTTTTTTATGTTGGTACTTATGGAATATATTGATTGAAATGTTTTTTAACAAATTTCAAAAGTAGTGTTGTTTTTTGAGATACGGAATCATATGCGCTGGCGTACCGCATTTGCAAGTCCAGTTTATATCAATGACATCGAAGCACTGCTAAAAAACGCAATTGCTTATTTTAGTAAGTGGCAATTAAGTTTTGGCTCTTGTAATAAATGACGCCATATTTTATCATCGTATGGAGTATACATAAATATTAAAAAGAAAAAAACTGATATCCTTGAAAATCGGCCTCACATCAAGGGGGTCATTATTTTTACAAGCGTGCAGAAAAATATTTCTACTTGAAATCGGTTTATTACTGGTTATAGCTATGTTGCTTATACTCTGTTGTGTTTTACAGATCAACGGTTTTATCAATCAGCAGAGCAAAGTGGACAAGCCCAAATTGAAGCAACTTCTGCTGGAGTGTTATGAACAAATTTCCTAAGCTTCAAAGGCAGAACGGGGACAGAAGATATTCGTACGTTTCTGAAGACCGCAGTTAACAGACCAATGTTCAGAATGATTTTTAGGAAAACGAGCGCAGGATATGAATAAAAGGACGCAGTTTGTTTACCTTTTTTTTTTTTTTTTTTTTTTTAAATAAGTGCGTGGTTCAGAAAAGTTCGATTGAGCAAGTTCTAGTGTAGTACCCCGTACATGCTACAACAAAAAAAGCTTAGCACAAATTTCAGAACGTTCGAAAAGCATTCTAATAGTGAGTAGATATCACGTTCCGGCACCGTAATATCCACCATTTGAAACACATCGGTTATAGACTTCCAGTTCACTTTTTCGCAGAAGAGAATTAAACTGTTCAAACTTATGGTTGGTCGATTTGAATACTATTGATAGGAACAATTATTCAGCTCAGCGTTGAACAGGCCTATCGAGTTCATCAAGCGTTCCAAACTTTATTTCATTTGTAACTAGCTTCACTAATTTTTACGAAGTCGACTTGTATAGTTCCCTGCACAACATCGAACAGCAATAGTTGTATAATAAAATGTACCGTGTCATTGTTACAAGCCTCAGCATCGGTGTAACCGAGAGGCTCACTCGAAAGAAACCGCTCCTTGATTACTGTCTCTGTTGAGGGGGGCAACATTTTGGACCTTCGAAGGTCAACCTCAATATTGTCTCACATATTTGGCGAGCAGTATCACTGGGCAAACCGAACGGCTCGGATGGTTCATGATGATTGACCGGTGATACATTGTAGTAGCATTGTGAGTATATGAAGAATCCGCTCAGTTCTACCGAACGTTCCTTTACCTCTGTGCGTTGTGTGAACTTGGAGTATTCTATGAATTTTTAACAAAACGTATCTTATACTACTTACGTATTAAGAAGTAACACTTTTTAACTCAAATGAAGCAACGGCGGGTAGAGCAAAGGAGAGGCAAGGTCATATGAAACTTCATCATCAGTAAACAAATAGTTAAAAAAGAATATAGAAAAAAGAATCTCTCTCTCTCTCTCTCTCTATATATATATATATATAGAGAGAGAGAGAGAGAGAGAGAGTGAGAGATAGTTTGAATTAGGTATTTAAATTAAAAAAATGAAAAGAAAATGAAAAGAAAAAGTGAATCGGCAAAAATATATATTCCTTCTACGTTTTGTCGAGCCGTTATGTTCCCTTACACAGTGCTGCCTGACAAGACGCATATTCAACAAATGTTTGTTGCGGATCTGATTGTACTTAGGTGATGCTCCACTCGTACCTTATGATTAGCCATACGTCGGTGAGGAGCTGCCAAGTAGTTTACGTCGCTGTACCGGTTCTAATAGAGAGAATGACGTTAGTGCTATCTTAAAGAGAGAAAGAAAAGGTCGCAGCTCAACCAGATCGGCCACAGCTGGCGTTCCATCGGTCAGGCCTCCTATTTACTACTCGGCTCCACTATATCCCTATATAATCCAGTGACGCATGGAAAAATCCTGCCCGTATTTCTTTTAGTGCTTGAAAACAAAGACCAGTTTACGGTCCCAAAAGGACAACGAAGTTCTCTACGAATATTAGACGGTAGAGTAATGTTGCTACAAATATTACATACTACTACATGTACAATAGTCGTGTCGGATATTTCAATGTCTATCAAAGCGTTGCAAGTCATTGACAAATTGTAAAAGCAAATTCGAAATGACTTCGAAATATTGTGCAAAGCAAATGTACGCGACTCAAAGTAAAGGGACGATATTTCAATTCGGAAACAGCATGAAGTCTTTAAAAAAAAGTTAAAATTCAAGTACACGAAAGATTAACTACTAACAGTCTAGTTCTTGCGTATGCTTCGGGTAGAAATTTTTTGTACGAATGATAAACAGCCATGTAACGGCGTTCATAGGTCATACTGAAAATGTTTCATGTTAGAGAATAACAACACTAAGTTTGCTAACCTGATATATAGGTATGCGACGATCATCATAGATTAATTGTCTAAATAAGTTGCAGTCTCACTTCTCAGTTTTTTTCTTTAATAAGGGACTCATTTTATGTTAACGTAAAGATAATTGGCTATTTATTTCATGCTCTATAGGACACATACTATGTTCACGATATCTAAATGTGTGAATGAACGAAATTGATATACTGTATCTGCATATAGCTAGTTTGAGTTCCAAAATTGCGTATTGCAGGCCGTGTTCTTTTCCTTGTTAGTTTAACGAGCATTCAGTCTTTTGGATTAAAGAAGAAGGCTGGTATTATTTGAAAACATCGCAATCAAATACATGAACAAACAGAGCGGGTCAGCGTTAAACAGTCGTTCCAGAGAAGTTGCACTCATTTAAAAAAGATTATCTTATTTTTGTCAGATGTGAGTTTCTAGAATCTCCTATGCTCACTGTCTTTGTCAGTTGTTATTTAACCCTTTTACTGAAGAGATTTCATTCAAGTGAACAGGATCAAAGAAATGCTGGAGAAGTAAACCCCGTTTTATGTTTGCGCTCAAAAAACTTCAGTTTATTCTACATATATATGTGTGTGTGTATGTGCATTCCCAAAAAACCTACGCAGTTTGATAATATTAAATTTCTAGGAATGTAGTACACGCGCACCAGAGATGGCATATCTGTACGTTTCGATAGCCGTCTAGATTCGACGCGCTTAGAAGTCTAAGACCGAATCTGCCGTTGAGATGCTATGTATGGCTATAGGGACACTTATCTGGGGACTAGAAGAGCCTCTTAGTATAGCGATAATCCTGATAATAGGTAGGAAATACCAACTTACCTTCGCAATGAATGAACGCTAGTACGAGTCATAACACGGAGCGGGCACAACTCCGCCTGCCACTGCGGCCAAAATGATTAGGCCTTTCCAAGTAGTAGTGACTCGTGTCTCTTCACGTCTGCGTCTTCGAGATACGATTCATCAGTTCTCTAGCAAGCCTCAAAATGCCAGCTATCCTCGCCAACGTTATCACAAATTGCACTGAGACTTACCCATGCATCCTGGTACAGACCTAATTGCGTAGCTAGAAATGATCGTGAAGAGATTTACTTGGCTAGACGTATGGATATGTTTTCTTAATATTGATCGTACCCGACACTCAAAATGAGTATGCACTGTTTGCACAATTTCCGGTCGAGTTGACTAGTGAAGCTTCGACAAGCGGCAAGCTACTCAGATAGCGTAAGATAAATGCTCTCATTATTAATGCTAATATATATGTCTCGTGACGATAGCCTAATGGAGTAAGTGGCAGCTTGGCGTGATTCGACAGCGGAGAAATAAAGGTTCAGCTTCGATGAAATCGGAAAGTACCGTTTTCATCGGCCACTTAGACACGTTGCGTGAGTAAACTCTAGGCATGCATCTGAAAAGATTACAAGCTATAGCTGTAGTTTTTTCAGTTCATTTGCCAAACCAGGGTCAAGTACACCTTGCCTGGAAGCGATGTACACTATTAAGTAAACGGCATTCTTGTTTGTCCTGCTAATTTTTAGTCCAATGTGCGTATCGTAGGATCCAATACGATTCGAACTGCGAACATTTGTCGTAATGACCCCTCGTGTAAGCATAATGAAGAACGGTACATATGAGAAAAAAGGTCAATTTGATCGGATTCGTGCGAAGTAAAATTTGAATTTTGCTTAGTGCCCTGTTCAAATCTTTTGTTTGACACTGTTATGCAGAGGATTCACGTGCATCTATCGTTCTTCGCTACTGTTTCAGTTCCGCGAATATTAGCCGTTATTTGTCATCAATTTAATTTCACCTTGCTTAATCGTTGATGCTTGTAGTCAATTTAACAACATCTTCAGTCCACATTGTTGAGTGCTCAGAGCACTCTTGAACTGGGTGTGCGTGATACGACGATACAGGTTCACAGTGCAGCTAAATCTCTATAATTTTATTTTAGTTCTCTGGGCTTGCGTATAAAAACGTCGCAGAGAGTACATTCTTCTTCGTATTAATATACTTCAATGTGAGATGTGAAGTCCGTCGAGTTGGAGGAGGTGAAGCTGGTGGAATGCAGCACTAGCTATTATCGAGGTGGTAACGGATGGTGAGCCTCATATTGTCTTTGCGCTATATTGAGTTCGTCTGTACTTTTCTTCGTCCTATATTCGGTCCTTTACCCCCCGGGACGTCCTTTACCGGAGCGTCCCCTGTTTTCCTTATGCTACAGACAGCAGTCGGTCTGCTGCTGCCGCCGTTGCCACTATCGCAGAGTTACTGTAAGGTCTAATTGTATCGCTCTCTCATTTCGTATTCATAGCTCGCCCTGTAGAGCACATTTCTCGAGGGTCATGTTCTGGTTTGGCTTTGCTGTCCGCCACAGTTGTCGCCGCTGCACCTCAACTGCTATAGCTACAATCGGCGTTGCGGTTTGTACAATCGTATAACTACAACTGATGCTTTGGCTGCCGCTTCTACACTTTCTATATGCGGTCTTGCGTGTGCATCCACGTTTTGCCGTGTTGCAATTTCCAGCCCAGCCCAGCCCAGCCCAGCCCAGCCCAAGGGAAAGCAATGGACGCGTAAACGAATATAAAGGCAGAGCAAGAAGCAGCAAATGTAACCCAAACGGAACTGACCTAGGCTAAATTGCCTTAAAAACCTAAGACTATTTACGTGCCTGTAAAGGTACAGTCACCTAAATAGTGTAACTGCTATATATACATGCACTTCGTGTTTCATTGTTGCACTGCGTTCCCAAAATGCCTTTGCTTGGCCAGCAGTTTGAAGTCCATTTCGCTTTCCCTCGAGCTACACTGGATTCACCTTCTGTGCGCTTTCGCTAACAGTACTCCAAGATTTGCCATCTGTTTCTGTTTATGCACCACGTGACAGCGACGGAGGTTTAATGCGTGCGCCTGGGAGATGTCGACTGGCGGGGGGTGATTTCGGTTGGATTCGGTTCTCTGTTGTCACTCATCTCCTTTCGTTCGTCACTACACAGTCCAACCAGCCATTCGGCCGTGTTATTGCCGGGTTATGCAGCGACACCAACGGTGGCGTGCCCTACACGCGACACGGCATGGAGGCCTCACGGCTTATTGCCACTCTGAAGTCCAGACATGTTGTGGATAACCACAAACAGAGGGAAGAAGAGAGGGGCTGTCTAGGGATGGCGCAACTGTGAAGTGAGAGTTTCACCTC